AGCCTATTTTTACTTTATCTTATTCTATACTAGCTTTTGCCGGCGGCAGCGCACGCGTGATTTTCTGCCTGTCACGGAAATTCTAGACCACGCGTCTCTCCTTTCATAATCCAGGATAGTATTCAGTGTTTGTCCTCGACTCTAAGGCTGAGTTGCACCACCTTATTTTGACCGTAACAATAACATTAACCGGTGCTTTTTGCATGGAGTTTGACAGATTTTCGACGTTACTTGTCAAAGTTAAGTAAGATGGTGCGATTAAACTACATTTATATTCATCCATCAACACAAACTTTCTTATTTAGTAGTAAGTTTAACAGGAAGTTATGGTGGAATACTTAACATACACCACATGTGCTGGTAAGTGGTAGAGCGGCGGTCGCTTAGATGCCTCGAATTGTTCGCGGCTCGAGCTTAACTACTCATTCATAATAATAAATGGGCCATTTGAACAAATTGTGTCCCACGGCAACACGCCACTCGCTCTTTTCGGCAAACTGTTTGGCTTATAAGATTTGTATTTACCTACTTTAAATCTTGCTGGTGAGTTTTAAATACATAACTTTACACCTTAATCTGGTTGTTAAGAAACGCTGATGTTTGTGCAATCGTCTGGATATTCAATATTTTAGTTACATCTTGAAAAAACTTCCAAGAATCCATCCATCATTGGCGTAAAAGGTATTGCTCGTAGACTGGACATAAGTCCATACTTATGTAATAACTTATTTCTCACCAGCGAGTTCTAAACTTTCACATTACAAACAATAACCATTTATCTAATTTTTACGTCTACTTAGATAATAATTAAATAATTCAAAGATTAATCCCATTACATTCAAAACTTAGGTACCTACTTTATACACTGAGATAATTAAAAAATAAACCCCTAGCACATAATATTGTGTAGTTTTTTCAACGAGAACGTTTTTAATGAAAACAACATTATAACGAGAAAAAATTAGCGAGTCTAGATTAAAAATACAAAGCATGCTATCATAGTCTGCAGAATTGCCTCTTTGCGCTCCTGGCTAGGGAATGAACAATATGAACATACTCGTATTAACAGCATAGAAATAGTAATGTTACATTAGGCTGGGTTGCACCATCTTACTTCGACTGTAACAAACGTCAAAAATTTGTCAAACTCCATACAAAAATCACCGGTTATTTATCGTTAAAGTTACGGTCAAAGTTTGGTGGTGCAAATCAGCCATAACAGTACAAAAATTTAGTTTTAGATTATAAAAAAAAAATCCACAATACCAAAAGTTACATCGAATTGCAAAAAATAGCTTGTCGTGTTATGGTGATATTCAAAACGTAACGTAAAGTATAGGTTATCATGAAAAGTATCGCGTAACATTTTAGCATAAATAATCCTTATTCCTTCTCATGAGGTAGCTTAGATATTTTTTCTTATTTTGCTAAGTGCTAAGCAAAGCAGAACCCCTTTCTCCTCACCTCTGACCTTTCAGTTTGACAGGAGACACGTTTTTTCAGCACAAGAAAAAAAGGTTTTCTTGTCAATATATCCCCGTTTATAAATGCATGTTCTCCCATCTTTCCTGCTATTCCGTGCCCCCTTTTCCCTACTATTTCGTAGTCCCTCTTTCCCCTGCAATCCTGTTAGTTTTGCACGCGGGACCAGCTATGCAAGGGTCGTTCCAGCAAGTCAATTGTCTGAGAGCTCGCGTTTACCTTGCGACATTCATAATAAATGTAGAGCTTGACCACCTCCCTTGGAAATGTCACATTTGCTCTTACTCATATGCTTTACAATATTCATATGTAACTTATATGATGAACTAGCTGACCCGGCGAACTTTGTTCCGCCTTAATGGCAATAAATAAGCAGACTTGTTTTATTTCGAACGGGATAAAAAGTATCCTATGTCCTTCTCCTGGCTCTAAACTACCTCCCTGACAATTTTCAGCTAAATCGGTTCAGCCGTTCTTGAGTTATAAGTGGAGTAACTAACACGACTTTCTTTTATATATATATAGATATTGTAAAGTATAACCTACTTATTACACATTTGGGATAATATTACTTATTTTGCAACAATTAATTTACTTTTTTAACGAGATTTCATTCAACCACTCTAGACAAAGAATGCATAAACTCCTTAGAAGTTTCTTATAAAAACTTGTTCTTTCAGAAGTTTGTACATTTTCTAGGATCATTTACACGAGTGAACGAAGGCTTTTATAGCCGCAAAGAAACTAAGTACTACTTAACTTGTTACAAATTAGCAACTATATAGTACCCATTAGGGTAGGTATCTTACTAAATTTACTTGGAATCTATCTATCCAAAAAGTCCTGGGAGTAATTTTCAGGTTGGACATATAAATAACAGAATTACTAATACAGTATGTACCTAGTTAGGTTGTAGACATTGTCTGTGTCTGCAGGCTATTGGTGTGGATTAAAGGTTAAAGTAATATTTTTTTTATAACTCGGTTAACCCTCAACGTCTGAGTGCCACTCAGAGATTAATGATTTTCATAACAACAACATCAGTATGTCTGAGCGCAGGTGTTGGTGGCGATCAATCCGCTTTTGGCCATTACTTTTAATTAATCAACTCAGCTTTTGATGGGCCTCATTATGCATTCAAGTGCCTCGGGAATTAACGATTTTTCATTAAACATGATGCTTATAAACCATGGTCTTAGCAGATATCTATGGCAGAAAAAAATAGCGCAATACTTAGCTATAGTCTATACTAAAGTAGGCTTACATTTTTAACACTATAAATAATAGGAAAGTGTTCTATAGACGTTAAGTACGAAACAAATTATTGATGACTTCTTTCTGTAGATATGTATGTCTGAATTTACTTTATCAAAAGTTCGTATAAAATTCTATATTGAGACGAAGATGTGCACTGCACATTCCTTATTTACTTCTAGTGGTTTCGTAGTTAGGATTCCGACCCGGAGTTCGATTCCCAGGTTGGGAATTCACTTTGTGGTCCCGGCTCCGAAGGACTTTGCAGGCATGCGTTGACCCCGTTGTATGTATTTATTAAGAAATATAATCCCGTGAAGAAAATCAAGCTCTTTTTTCTGAGATCGAGAGGCAAGTAGGTACTTACAGCATAGTAATATAGAGATATTCTAGAGTTAAGAACCGATCTTTTTGTCAAAGAAATGTGCCATAATTCGTCAATTTGGTGCTATACAAACTAAAGAACCGACATCCTCTGGATCTAAATGGAATGGTTCCATTAAGTAACCAATGATTCCAAGACTTTAATAAAACATTGAAATTAGCCCTGAAAATCCAATTAGTTTCCAAATTACTATAATATCATCAAGTTGGCCGAGCGACTTCATAATTTTATTACGGTACCAATCTACTGGATAAATCGCATTAGTAAGCTCATAATAAATATCAATTGGAACTGGCTCACTGGGCAGCTACCCCATACTGAAGGTCATTATTCTGTCATCCACCTGAATGTACTTTGGCTATAACAATTTTTCTCAGTGCAGCGTGTCACGGCGCAGCTGCCAGCTAATATCGGCCGAAACAATCCCAATATCCGCAAAACTTTGGCTCGGCCTCCATTATTTATTCAGGGGCTTCTGCGTTTCTTTAACTTTCGAGAGCTTAGCCCCGTTATTATAAGCGAACCCTCGGAACACAATTGGCCGGGGTTCGAGACCAGTATTTATAAAAATATTTGTCATTTACGTCCATTTGGAGTCTAGGGATTGGACGCGCCTACAAAATTTACGACTACTGTTCCGGAACATGGTAGCTTAACTATCATATTTGTGACAAAAAAGCTATGATGTGGCAACTTCTACTAGCTATTTACTCGAAACCAACTGCCTCGTGTGTTTTTTCCTTTTTTTAGGAATTTATAATTTCTAGGTAGGTACCTACTCGTTAAAAATTGTTTTGATTTTCTTCATTTACAAAATTTACCTAAATCGCATTCTACTCGTACCAACCACTCTCCTAATCAGTAGATTGTCACAGAATTAATTAAACTTAATTGTATCCATAATGTCTGTACCAAAATATTCAAACGAAAAGTTATCATAAGGTATCCTCATTTGAATTATGACAAAGGAGTAATTAGAGATAATCCGCGTTGGGCGAGCACCTGTCTCGCGAACAGTATCTATGGCGGAAACCTGCAGTCTCTTTATTGTTGGAAATGTAGACTCCAACGCAAAGATAAGAGCCAGTTTACTAGCGCAGAAATTAAGAGCCATTTTACATTTTCGTGCTGTTACAGATAGCCCTCGCACCCTATATTGCTTACTTGACATTCCGCCTTTTGCCGACTCATCCTTTTCCATCCATAGCCTGCGATACCTCGCATTTCCAAGTCAGTCTCATTCCACCATCCGAACTAGACGGCTGTCTTATCCTTTTAATCTCGTGTTCTTTTTTAAAAACCCAAATCCCCAGAGGCTCATAACATTTGGTGGCAGCGCAAAGGGATTCAAAAAGAGTCCCCGGTCAACGTCTACAGTTCAGTTTCAAAACCAAGTTAAATCTATAAATCCAGTCTCGACGCGTGTGTGTGTGCCGTGTTGTGTGTAAGCGCCGACTCCACTGTGTGGACCTCCAATAATCCAATACCACACCGAGTTCCGGCCCGGCCCAAGTCTTCCAACGTTCCTGAGTTCCTGAGAGGCCCACTGCTGCGTGAATCATCCACAGCCGGTCTCCACCGAGAACAGCCGTTTGCCCACTGTTGCGCACAATTTCGTGCTGCAACCGGCAAGCGAGCATCCAGTGACGCAACGGAGCGAGGCTTATCAACAAGCATACATTTCGCCGAGAGCAGCGCGACTTCCAGCTTCCAGTTCCGAGAATGATCGTCCTTATCGCGCTATCCGCATTCCAGTGAGTAACTTGGTCATTGCTCGTCCGATTTTAGCTATCGTAATTTTTAATCTTTTTGTGTGTTATTCTAAATCCAATTGTTGTTCTATTTTTGTTGTTGAATTAATTCATAATATTGTACCAAAATGGCAGAGAGATCCAATAGTCCAAAATTCGAGAGACCCGAAGTGGTTCTAACAGACATAGATGACGAAGGCCAGGACCAGCATTTACCCCCTCCTGGACCTTCTACTAGATCCCAGAGTAAGAGAAAAACAGCAGTAGTAGTCAAATCNTTTTTATAAACGATAATCAGAAATTCAACAATGACTTTTGTCCAGCTAGCTTGTTCTACACGAATCACAGTGCATCCGTTGATTTCTATGTAAATACTTGTAATATAAACCACAACTCGCCGTATAACACTTGTGTATACGCCTCGTTGACCAGTGCCATCGCTATACAATGACATGTACGTGTCCTCGTTGTGTAAACCACCTGCTACTACTGTTTACAATATACACAGTGCAACACTAACCGGAGTTTGATTCGGCTCGGGGAGCGCCGCCTCATCAATCCCCAAACTGGTGACCACCGTACGTTCCAAACGGATCCCGGATCATCATCATCAGGATCCCGAACACGAAAATCATTCCGGTTACGCTCCGTGGTATCTTCACAACGCAACGCGCAACGTGCTACCATTTCGCGCCCCTGACCTGACGCTATTCGCACGCCAGCTTCTTCGTCCATTACGTGTATCGTGCATGAGTGTATTGTGTTGAAACCTTGTGCTTAAAAACAAGTGGACGCCAAGAATCATAAACCATCTTAATCAAGTGAAGTACAATCAAAGACTGTCCACCAGCACCGCAGCCACGCAAGTACCACTTCCATCTTCCTCCGTCTGACTTGTGCATCATGCGAAAACATTGAACTTTACAGTGCTCCGTTCATATACCATACTTATTTCTCTGAGTCATTGCTAATCTGTGTGTAAAAATACAATATTCCTAACCTAACCCAACTTAATAACATAATTTAATTTAAACTTGGTACATTTATTCATTCTTATCAACTTGTATTTGAATTATTAACAATTAACTTTCGGCTTACATTAAATACTTTGTTTGCAATAATTAAGCATTTACCAGGTATTTATTGCATGTAATATGGTGGTTTAATTAAGGTTATTGGTTTCTATTGCTAAAATTCAGTCCTACCTATTTGATCTAACTTGTCTTGTATGGTTTCAAATTTGCAACGGCCAAGTGTGTGTATCATTTATTTTATTTTTATCTGCATATTGCACCCAAAATTGATTATTTTTTATATTGTTAAATTGAATTTCCTAACGCCTGCGGAGAAGGATATTTTAACCCTTAACAGCACATTTTTTTTTCTCTTTTTTAACTTTGTTTACTTTCTGCACAGTGGTACAGTTACACTTTCAACATGTCTGACACAGAACTAAAGGCACAGTTAGAGGAACTTATTGCCAAAAATAGAATTTTAGATTCTCAACTCAAAGCACAATCAGAACCCAAACCTGGGACATCCTACGAACAGGTATGCAGGGTGTCAGTAAAACTACCACCATTTTGGACCGACAGACCNCAAATAAGTAGATTAATTATTTTTTCACTAGACAGCAACCCTAACAGCGTAAGAAGAGTTCAGAGGCACGCGATAGAAAGAGACAAAACTTGTAGGTGAATAAAATTGTAGGTACGTAGTGCTGTGCGAGCTGAATTCCACTGTATCGCGTCGTAGCAAGACTCGCATTATTTAAATCGTCTTACGGAGTAATCCTTCTGTACATGTACCTACTATTACTTATTCTGTGGTTTGGGCTTGTGTGATTCGCCTTGACGAATATTTCGTATCCAGGGCCCGATGATGGAGCTGTAAAGGGGCAGATTTTTTTTTCACTAAGTTTGAATACCTCATTCTACCTTAAAATTAATAACTTAAATCAAGTCTTAATACGGTCAAGACTCAAGATTTTTTTGTCCATTTAAGCGTTCTTTTTACTCTTTTGACGTTGCGTTGACAGCTTTTACCTAAATTCGCGCGGAATATTTTTGTGAAATGGCTCTTAAGTTTTGATATTAGAACACTCGGTATGTATGTACTGATGTAGATGACATTTTTTTAAGTGGTACCATTTGAATTTAAATGGAATGGAAGAGAATGTAAAATTAATTACGTTTTAAACAAAAGACTTCTTTGTAATTGGGTTTTTCAAAATTTCTTTTGTAGGTAGGTAGATATTGCTACGAAATCAGTTTCAGCTAGCCATTGATAATTGAGCCAAATGTAACACATTCACAAATGTTGATTACAGTATACTTCAGCAAGCTTAAAAGTGTTTTGAAATTGCCACTACCTATTTGTGTAACTTACAAAAATTCCACAGATTCTTGCATGGTCAGATGGATTCCGAATTATGCAATGGAGGGCTATGCCTTTACTGTGAGAATGCCAATATGCTTGAGTGAAAATGTATATCATCATCATCATCATCATTTCAGCCACAGGACGTCCACTGCTGAACATAAGCCCAATGACTTCCACATCGCACGGTTGGTAGCGGAAAATGGATGTTGTTTAAAAAATATGAAACTAGAAACTATTAATTTGTTTCACTATATTCTGTTGGTTGTACTTAGCACATCTTTGAATTGTATCTATTATTAAAATTAATGGCTTATTAATTATTTCAGGCCGTTTTTTCTGTTCTGTGATCAGCTCCACGTCTACAGCTTATTAAAGTCACCGCTAATATCAGGCTCGTTGGCTCATTAATTGGCTTCCTTTGATCAGCTTCGTTACGAACGTAAATCAAAATTAACTATTCATTTCAACAGACTCCATCAAACAGATAATTAAATTGATTCGATACAATGGCGGACGATATTTTTATCAAAATCAAATCAAATTCAATCGTTTATTTATGTGAGTAGGCTCCCAAAGAGCCCTTTAAGTTTTTTTTATGTTACTTTAATTTAAAAAAAAATCTCAAGCTTTTGATGTAAGCGACTATATTATTATGATCACAAAAACAATGGTTTTCGAGTTTTTATGACTGAAACTAAACTTGTAAAACATTAACTAAATATTTCCCTACAGACACGAAGGTCCATAACTTTTGCTGTAGTTTCAACATTAAGTTCGCAAGTTTGTTTATTTTCTTAACAACTAAACGCAACTTGTAGATTTTCATTAACATTAGCAAAATCAATCAGAATTTAGACTGTTCTATACGTATATGTTGTGACGTTAAAGTTTTTTCAGAATCTGTCTAGTAATTTTTTCGTGAAGGAATAACAAGCCTACATACTTTCGCATTTAGAATATTTTGTACCTAATCAGAGAAAGAAGATCAGCAAAATTTATGTATTTGTTCCATTCTTTCAAAAGAAAATATCTCTGACAGAAAATAAACGTGTCAGTTTCAAGCAGCAAAGTAAAAATCCGTATTATGTCAGGGTCCCGGTAATAATAGAATCGAGCGTTACCCGCGCGTGACGTCATTTCTGAGGTTTACTTCGAGGCGCGAGGGTTCACAGCATGTTACAATAGGGCTGTCATTGTTGGTACGGAGATTCCTTTTATGGGTTTTCGTCTTTCAGTTTTGTTATGAAAATTCCTAAAAATACGCAAAGGTTACTTCGCTTTAGCGCTTTGCTCTTTGCGAATAAGCGTTTTTCAACAACACTTGGGCTGGGTTGCACCATCTTACTTTAACTTTGACAAACGTCCAAAATCTGTCAAACTACATACAAAAAGTACCGGTTATCGTTATAGTTACGGTCAAAGTAAGTTGGTGCAACTCAGCCTTAATATGGTGAAGTTAGGGCTTATTAATTCCTGTAAGAATCATATACTCGTATATCCTATGTCTTATTAGACATAGGACGTAGTTAGCCTTACACACTGTACCAATATATGTTATGCTGCACAACTCAATCCAGAGTAGGTATGTCATTAGTTACCTAAGCTAAAGTAACATTAAGCTACTCATACTATTAAGAAGTCAGGGTCCTCGTAGTAAGAAAATGACACTGCATTTATTAAGACGTGCGTTCCATTATCGTATGTGTATCTTATGTCTGGAAATTTATTTCATTCCATCTGTTAGAGACAAACCTACGTATTTGTCCACCTACGCCTCTAATGTCAAATCCTATAAGCTTCGCGTGAATATGGTTAAGTAATGTATCAAGTAACGTATTTGGTATTTAAGCAAGGGTATCTAAGTTAGGTGTCAGAAAGCATGACAGAACGTACCTACAGGAATTACTATTAACGGGCTTTCAGACCATTGTATCTAATAATGTTGTGTAGTAACTCGGTAATTTGAAAAGTTCATAGCATACTTTTTTAAATATAATTCCGTGTGCGCTAGCTCCTCGACAATCTTCTACATATACAAGTACTGGCGGCCAGCATGCTCCTAAGTACTGCACTTTTTATTAACCGTGAAGGCAGCCTTGTAAAGTAACTTTTCACCACGATCTTAAGAGCGCACAGCACGCCACTTCGCCCGGATCGTATGGGCTACATACTAACGAGTCATTAAGTATGTGTGAGCTGGTAATGGTACCGATTCTGTAGAATCATTCAGTAGAATAGAAGAGTTTTTTCTCTCTTCAGTTAGTGGAAAAAGAGAAGTACTCGTAGGTACTTCACTTTCAAAATAAATCGTGTAGATTGTCTTATATTCGCGTCACTAGTTTTAATTGTGATGGAAACTTACCTGAGAGTATTTTAAGAATAGAGTTTCTCGAGTCAAGTTAATTTTCGTTTATGTAGATAGAGTTAGACGATACGAGTACATTTATAAGTTTTTATAAGTTATAGTCATGGAAACCAATAACACATTACCACTGAACTTCCAATCTCAGATCAAAATAGATTTATGTTATCATTTTATTGACGATTGAAACCGATTCAAATGAACAAAGACAGATTCAACCACCCTCCAAAACACAATCGGTATGATTGTCGAAAATCCTGTTAGGCCATTAGGGCGCATCGTGAAAAGCATAGGTTCCCAACTATAGTTCGTTTCATCCACGAAGACACGCCTCACCATTCTTTCGCTAAGGTTTGAGTGTTATAGGTACACGCTAAATCATCCATGAGTGCACACGCACACTACAATAATGACGCTCGGATTCCTCGGATCAAAATTGGTGGGGCGCGTCTTCGTGGATGAAACGAACTAAAGTGATCTCCTGAACACGGTGGTCCACAGGAGTTGAAATATGGTCCGCGAGTGATTTTAAATTTCGCGAGCGATACGTTACGGGAGGATGTCAGCTCAAAACTCACGTTGGTACAAGGATTGACTTTCTAAGTAAAGATGCCTTTAGCCTTGTTCCCACTTAGCATGCCGAGTCGCTCAAATAGAGACTGAGACACCTGATATTCGCGTGCTCAGGCGTTCTCCACATAGAGGATACAAGGCTTTCCTTAAAATAATATTGCAAATCAGAGTTTTTGACTGAAGCTTATTTAGAAAAAAATGTTTTGTTTTACATGGTCTCTGTGTCCCTGGTTCAGAAAAGGTTGGGAACCACTGATGTAAAGCGTTTGTTCGGAGCCATTAATCGCGCGTTGATTGATAGCTCGTTGCCGCCGATTTACCAGTTTGCTACCACACTAATAGTACGCCATCACCACAGACCATGACCATATACCACCTCCTGTGACGACTAGAGAAAGCTATTGGTTTTGATGACTCACTTATTGGATCATTTGGGAACAGTGACACTTTTTTTGAACAATTTTTGTTACCTATTGGTGTTCTATCGCTGCAAGAATTGCATGTCGAGTGTCAAGACTAAGTACTTATTCTATCAGTGACATGCTTAGTGCTTACTCATTATGAAGCTTCAAGAATTTAAATCATTTTTTGTGAATTAAGTATCCTTTGCTATTTAATTTTATAAATAGTTTTTGTTGTTGAGCAACCATATTAATTTTGATCCATTTATTAAAATAGCCCGAAAATATGAAAGTGGTCTTAAACGATATTTAGAGAGGATTAAATTGTAAGTTGAACAAATACTGTAAATACGAAATAGCCTTTACGGCGTAGTAAGGCTTATTCAATTAGTGTTGAGTACGGTAAGTACTTAATTAAAAATCCATTTCAGTATGATTCGAACCACACGATGCACGAGTAAAACCGTCGTTAAAATGAAAATTGCACTTTCGTAGTACCCATAAAGTTCAAGCAAATGATCATTCTACTTTCAAAATTATGAGTCACATTACTTGATGCCGTTATCTTTTAGGCTGGGTTGCACCATCTTACTTTAACTTTGACAAACGTCAAAAATCTGTCAAACTCCATACAAAAAGCACCGGTTATCGTCATAGTTACCGTTAAATTTAGGTGGTGCTACTCAGCCTTAGTTATCTATAAAATGTGATCTACGAGTTATCTACTCCGAAAATGAATATGAATGCACCACTTTCAATCAACTTATAGAAAATGAAGGTAAAAACAATATGATTCAAAACTCAGTACATTAGCTAATTACCCAATCACATCA